CCTGGTCATTGTACATACCTCCCTGGTCATTGTACAAACCTCCCTGGTCATTGTACATACCTCCCTGGTCATTGTACACACCTCCCTGGTCAATGTACATATCTCCCTGATCATTGTACATACCTCCCTGGTCATTGTTCACACCTCCCTGGTCAATGTACACACTTTCCTGGTCATTGTACATACCTCCCTGGTCATTGTACACACCTCCCTGGTCAATGTACACACCTCCCTGGTCATTGTACACATTTCCCTTGTCTATGTACACACCTCCCTGGTCAATGTACACACCTCCCTGGTCAATGTACACAACTCCCTGGTCATTGTACACACCTCCCTGGTCAATGTACACACCTCCCTGGTCAATGTACACACCTCCCTGGTCATTGTACACACCTCCCTGGTCAATGTACACACCTCCCTGTTCAATGTACAAACCTCCCTGGTCAATGTACACACCTCCCTGGTCAATGTACAAACCTCCCTGGTCAATGTACACACCTCCCTTGGTCAATGTACACACCTCCCTGGTCAATGTACACACCTCCCTTGGTCAATGTACACACCTCCCTGGTCAATGTACCTACCTCTCTGGTCATAATACTTACTGTGTTATATTTAAGTCTGTTGTTTTTATGCATAATATTTGTTTTACTGTAGTTTTTGCTCCTTCCCGTACCTATAATTTGTAAAAGACCCCTCAAAATCTCACACAGGTTATGCTGTGTGAAAAGAGTGTTCTACAACAGATAGTGACTAATGTGAATTTTAGAGGTTCTAAAAAAGTTACATTCAGTGACCTATGTTGGACAGGATGGCAGATATATTTCATGAGCACCAGAAAGAGTAATCTTTTAAAATTACCTAAACTTTTTGTTGCAGCCATTTCAGTTTCTAGGCCAGTAATCAAATTTGGGCTGGTAGATGATGCCTTTGATTTGACCTGACCTTGACCTACAAATCATTTGCATATTCATCAAATTTGATAAAGAAACTAGTGGCAGTCCCAGGTTGCTCAGGTGTATACTGGGAGGACACTGCCACTCATAAAGACGTCGTAAAGTTTGAATTAAATAGGATCAGTTTAGATGTTGTGATAGTGGGACAGCCTGGGCTGATAGGTGTCTGGGGGGAGATTTATTTATCAATAGACATGAATATATATGTGATAAATAAAAAGATTTGATTTTCAAATTATGGATGAAATATGATGCTATGGAGTTCGACACTTGACTTCCTCTGCTAGTTCTAACTGACACAGGGATGGCTTCTCACCGTGATACAGATCTGAGCCAGTGTGATCGTGTCGCAGGCCATTAAGTCAGACGGTTTCACTTGGGCAGATTTTCTATGAAGAAGGACGAAGCAAAGCCGATCCTTTGAGTAGATGTGTATTATCGGTGCACCTGTATAACACGCTACTGATTGTCGCGAGTAATTATAGACTCTCAACATCACATTAGCCCTGCATGGTGGCAATGAAGCAGGTAACCGTGGGATACGACCAATGAAAAGGGACAACAATACCTCCAATGGCTCTTAATATTTACCCATGGCTGTTTTTATGGTCGATAGTCAATCATCGTTTTATTACACATTTGGTGCCAATTGAAGTGTTTTGAGGACAATTATAGTTATTGAGTATAGGATTTCACTAATATGTGTATTTATCATTCTGTCGTTAGAAGTTTGTGATGTTAGTGAAATGTGCTGGATGTAATGGATACAAACAGACAAAAGTACAACACCAGCTGTCTCCTCACACCAGATGTTCCTGCTGTCTCCTCACCCTGCCCCACAAGAATGACACTGCTGTCTCCTCACCCCATCCACAGTATGTTCCTGCTGTCTCCTCACCCCAGTATGTTACTGCTGTCTCCTCACCCCAGTATGTTCTTGCTGTCTCCTTACCCCGACCCCAGTATGTTACTGCTGTCTCCATACCCCAGTATGTTACTGCTGTCTTCTCACCCCAGTATGTTCCTGCTGTCTCCTCACCCCGGTATGTTACAGCTTTCTCCTCACCCCAGTATGTTCCTGCTGTCTCCTTATCCCGGTATGTTACAGCTTTCTCCTCACCCCAGTATGTTCCTGCTGTCTCCTCACCCCAGTATGTTTCTGCTGTCTCCTCAACACACCCCCAGTATGTTACTGCTGTCTCCTCCCTCCAGTATGGTACTGCTGTCTCCTCACCCCAGTATGTTCCTGCTGTCTCCTCACCCCAGTATGTTCCTGCTGTCTCCTCACCCCAGTATGTTACAGCTGTCTCCCCACCCCAGTATGTTCCTGCTGTCTCCTCACCCCAGTATGTTCCTGCTGTCTCCTCACCCCAGTATGTTACAGCTGTCTCCCCACCCCAGTATGTTCCTGCTGTCTCCTCACCCCAGTATGTTCCTGCTGTCTCCACACCCCAGTATGTTATTACTATTTCCTCACCCCCACCCCAGTATGTTACTGCTGTCTCCTCACCACACCCTAAGTATGTTACTGCTGTCTCCATACCCCAGTATGTTACTGCTGTCTCCTCACCACACCCTCAGTATGTTACTGCTGTCTCCATACCCCAGTATGTTACTGCTGTCTCCTCACCACTCCCCCAGTATGTTACTGCTGTCTCCTTACCACACCCCCAGTATGTTACTGCTGTCTCCATACCCCAGTATGTTACTGCTGTCTCCATACCCCAGTATGTTACTGCTGTCTCCTCACCACACCCCCAGTATGTTACTGCTGTCTCCATACCCCAGTATGTTACTGCTGTCTCCTCACCACACCCCCAGTATGTTACTGCTGTCTCCTCCCTCCATTATGGTACTGCTGTCTCCTCACCCCCACTATGTTACTGCTGTCTCCTCCCTCCAGTATGGTACTGCTGTCTCCTCACCCCAGTATGTTACTGCTGTCTCCTCACCCCACCCCAGTATGTTACTGCTGTCTCTTCACCCCACCCCTAGTATGTAATTGCTGTCTCCTTACCCTACCCTAAGTATGTTATTACTGTCTCCTCACCACACCCCAGAATGCCACTGCTGTCTTTCCACACCTCCCTCAGAATGCCACTACTGTCTCTCCACACCACTCTCAGAATGTTACTGATGTCTCTCCACACCACACCCAGAATGTCACTTCTGTCTTCCCACACCACCTCCAGAATGTCACTGCTGTCTCTCCACACCACCCCCAGAATGCCACTTTGTCCTTCCACCCCACCCCCAGTATGTCATTTTGTCTTCCCACTCCACCCCCAGAATGTTACTGCTGTCAATTTAATTTGTTTATCATTTAATGTTAAGTTTTTGGAACCACTTTTGCAGACACAAAAGAGGATCTAGATCAGTTACCATGAATTTCATCTGTAGATCCCCATCTGATTTTTTTTTATTTTCTGGGTGTAGTGCTGCACTGAAGTACAACACACACTCTCAGGGCTGGTTTGTCAGGAGAGATATCACCAGAGTTGACACAAAGTTGTAAAATTTGACCAAACTAATCCCTAAATTGATCAGACAACACGCAGATTGTATAACGTTAATGTGACGTAAAGTGTAAGGTAAGAATAATTATTTGCACACCTGTACCAGACAAAGTAACAACTTAAAGACAACCCAGGCGAGAACTCACAGGAAGACGTAGGACAGCCGCTGGCCACAAAGTTGATGAGCAGGCCCAGTAGGGGCACCGCTCGCTTCAGAGGAAGTGTATATTAATTCGTGTCATTGAACACAGCAGGGCCACCATGAGGTCCCTTGTCATCAGACAAAATTAAGTAGGGTTCTGATTTCAAAGTCGACCATTTATCATCGCTATGTATACTGTCTCTTTAAATCCGTTCCAAATTCAAGAGATTTGTATACTTTCCCCAGATCTGTTTTCAAGATAGGATTTCATGATAGGAAATTTTTTTCTTTTGATAAAGTAACATTTGGGTAATTTATATGAGGGTGTTTTTGTGTGCGAAATCTGACGACCAGTTATCTGTAAGGGTTAGATATAACACTGGGAGGGGTAGGGGGCGGACATATTCACACTGTAATGGTCACTAGGTCACTTACACTACAGCAATCAGCAGACAGCCAAGGTCTGGTGGAACACTCACAAATTAAAAACTGACCAATCATTTCTAGTGGACTTAAGTTTGGATGAAACTTATACCTTTTCATCAACATGACATCCCTCCAAGGTTAGTCTGAATGCAGTGGCCTTATGATATAAAGTTTTCATCCCTGAAGAAATCCTATAGGTTTAGCTGGTTCATATTTATTTTAATGATGTATGCATTCCATTTCATACTTTTAATATAGGATGAAAATGTTCTGTGGTAGTTTTGCCCCAGACTACTGCTACATATGTCTCTGATTTGAAATCTTAAGGCTTGTGTAATAGGAAGGAATAATAATAAAAAAAAATGCTGTGCTGTCACTGGGGTTTGAATTAGTAACCCTTCAGTCTCTAGCCAGACATCATATCACTCAATGAAAGGAAAATTCTCACTAGACTAGGATTGTAAACAAACCTTTACCCTCATTTACTGCCAATGAGATTTCTTGATATTTAATGTCTCAAATGATTATTAACCTTGTTGTTGGATGTCCAAAGCAAGACGCTTCAATGTTTGAATTTTTTTTTTAATTTTAATTTTAAGCTTGAATTTTATATCTCCAACTTAATTTTTTCTTTTTTTTTTTTTTTTCGAAATGTTTTTAATTTAAATATGTAATGTGTGAAATGACAAATCTTTATAGTTTTTATCTTTTGTTTAATCATGGATGTTTGGTTTTTAAGAGTTTTAGATGTCTCATTACTGGGTATTTGGTTTTAAGTGACTTCATCTAAAATCTTTAACATGAGATCTTTCTAAAGTTTTGTTTGGTGTTTAAATCATTGGATCTCGAGTCCTTCATGTTAATTATTTATGTAAGCTGTGTGATATATTCCAAGCTTTGTGAATATTTTCTATGATACCTAGTAACATCTAATCTGTTCCTATTGTATTCCTTCAGGTATTTCTTCCCTACCTACGAGAATGACAACCTACTGTGTCAGCTCCAGGATGATGAGGAAGATCAGACAGCTGGAAATGTGACATGTTGCCAGGGCAATGTGACTGTTATAGCAGAGGATGTGCCTGACGTTGGACAGACTATTTTGTCCGAAGAACGGGTCAGACGAGACATCATTTCCTAGCAGTATCTACATGTTATAGCAGAGGATGTGCCTGACGTTGGACAGACTATTTTGTCCGAAGAACGGGTCAGACGAGACATCATTTCCTAGCAGTATCTACATGTTATAGCAGAGGATGTGCCTGACGTTGGACAGACTATTTTGTCCTAGCAGTCATTTCCTAGCAGTATCTACATGTTATAGCAGAGGATGTGCCTGGTGCTGGACAAATGTTATTTGAATTGTTGTTATTTATTAAATAAATCTATATGATTATAGAACTTTGTTTGTTATATATGTTGACCCAATTATGAACATATGATATTTTTCCTTGCAAGTACCAGTTTATAGTCAGGATATGCATTTGCCCTATCTGAGTTGAATTATACAACTTTTGAAGAAAGTTTTATCACCAGAGAATTGATCTCCAAAGTCATTTTCTTAAATAATGTCTATCTTCTGTATTCTTTATCATCAGTAATGCTCCAAAGGCAGAATTGTTAGTGAAATTTAAAGAACCCCTCCAAATGTATCCTGTATACTTCATCATCACTCTCTGCATCTTAGAACATTTGTGAAAAATTGAAGGTTCCATGAGCATACCTTGTGGATAAGATGTGAAGTCTAGTTTGACTTTTGATAGACATCAAAAAAATCTTGAGGTCGCATAATGGTATGTTGTAATGGCTTTGAAGTTGGGTGTCGCTCCTTTGTAATCTTCAATGGGGTGTATCATTTTGTGATTGGGCAGGTTTTTTCTCCTGAAACTCTCTCTAGACCAATCAAAATACTTCACTTGTGCCTTCAACTCTACTATGAAATGTTCCAGGGGTGCAGATAGCAAAAAAAGAGCGAAACACAGGGAGTATAGTGGATACCCCAAAGGACAAAGAATCGTACCGTTCATTGCCTATGTAAGAAAGTCACACAGTGGTACAAGTATATGGCTGTGTGCTATTTTTTTGTATATCTTTTGTTAACAGCAGAACAGATTCTAAAAATAGAATTTTTTTGCAGTGTTAATACAAAGACTGTTCTTATCAAAGGTTTTATTATTTGTATGTTTGAGAAAAGAGCAAATTCGCAGAAATAAGATACATGGAAAAAGATTATGTATAGAAAATTATGGTCTGTTTATCATTTCTGCTAAAAATATATCCTTTTTGCTGCAAACTTTGATTAAACAGTGACATATTCAACCTTAAAAATTGACAAGATTTATCGTATTCGGGACAGGTATCTCAGCCATAATTCATGACTACCAAGACAGACAAACAAATTGGGAAATGATTTTTGATAATATGAGTCGTATATATATATATTTACTTCCTGATCTGAATGTTGAAAATATCAATAGAATATTCTGTTACCATGTGTTAATAAGGGATGCTATTTCAACTTTCTTCTTTAGTTAAAATTTCCTGGTTTCCCTCTTTGAGGACACGACATTATATGTATTGACCTAGATTTATGTTTTGGATGTTGTCGATGAAGCAGAAGTTCTATATATAACATAGTCTTATTTACATCGTCTGATAACCTCATATAAATTTTTGTTCATGTATTGCTCCAGGCTTGCCATATTTAGTTGGAACCATTGTGATAAACACATTTTATTTTGCATTGTCTTACAACAGCCACATCGTCATTGAAATAACACAACAATGTCTGCAATAATTCCCCATTGTTCATACTATCACTAACAATAGACAAAACAAACCATACAGATAAATTGCATTTTTTTTTTTTTTTTTAGTTGGGCATGATCCTCTCTGTTTTGATAAGGCTGAATTAACATTTGAAATCTTGCCCATGGACATTTCAAATCGTTAAAAAAGCAGTAAATCTATTTGGAAATTGATCAGATATTTTGCGTTTGACAGGTTGGTTCGCGTACGCCTCACTATCTACCATACACTGTAGTGTACGTATTGTAACATTGAATGACAGAAATAAAATGATTGGGTTTTGGATAAAAACAATTGGTCACGGTGTGTCGGTGACTACTGGCTGGAGGGAGTTCATGCAAACCATGTTAACAGGTATGATCATAGATTGACGAATGAATCACGGCTGTACCAGTACACAGAAACTACATCACTTTCCTAAAATATTCCAACACTTTGATGTGTCAGAAAGTAACAGACAAGGAATTCAACATTGTATTTGTCCCCCAAGCAAAATTGAAGTGGTACCATGCATTGTTACAGATATGTGGTTAAATTTCGTGTTGACATCATCAATCAGCAGAGCAACACATTTTTTTAAGCTAGCCATATCATGGAAATCAAGAATGAATCAAATGCATTGTTTTAAATTAAACAGAAGACTTAGCTTTGATGTACAGCAGCCATGCATGGCAATTACAACTTAAAGAAACTTATTTTATTCGAGGCAACTATTGTATCAAAGGTCAAAGGTCAAAGTTCAAGTATTTGTTTTCTCCTGGAGATTTGAATTTGCACGTAGGTCAAAACAGCTAAGAGCGAATGCAGTTCCTGGCTGCCTGGTCTCTGTTAAGAGGTATCTTATCTGTAACAGAAATAATTGAAGACCTTATTTTTTTTAATTTTGAAGAAATATATATTATGCTACATACGATACCTTAAAATAAAAAACCTTAGATCTAAATTAAGTATTGAATAAAGAACATCCAATATCATCCATAGTTACAAATCATATCATCATTGTTTAATATTCTCAGTGTGTTATATGATTAACTTTCTTGTATTTGTGTAGAATTAATCTACCCAATATTTATTTTCGAGTCATGCAAGGCTAACACGCAGATTCAAAGACCTGTAAATCACTTATCGTTAATTAGTGGTCGTTGGGATTGTAAGAAGTGGTCGTAATACGGAATAGCGGGGTGGTCGTAATTTTGAGGTGGTCGTTAGGTGAGGTTTCACTGTATTCCTGTTTATGACAGTTCCAAATCAGTAAAGCAACTTAATGCCAACCTCGATATTGTTTCATCGGCACTGTTTCCAGCGCGTGTTCAACACATTACGTTTAAAACATTACCGAGGCACACGGTACCGACTTTAAATATCGACATCAAAAGATATTGTATCAGATACCAACAGTTAGAAACATGAAAAATTAAGTTTAAATATTCAGAGATAGAACTGGATGGTAAAATAAATCAATAAATCATTTGATCACTGAAGGTTCAAGCATTGCCTTCAGCAAGGACGTCAGAGATTAGTAGCTCTTTGGTATAAGTTCAGGATATACATGTAGTAGAATTAGAAAATATAATTTAATCTTTAAAAAATAGAAAATTACACCACAGCGAGTCTGATCAATAAAATGAAGATAACTTCCAAAATGGTTTGTGAGCAAAGACGTAATTTTTATACCGTGCACACTTTGTTGTTAGAGACTTTCATATTGTATACACAAGTTATGCGTGTTGCCTTTTTTGTTTTTTGTTGGTTTTTTTTTTTTTTTTTTACCAAAACTGCACACTAGTTATTCTGATGTTCTATGGACTTTTAAAAAAGGTCTTGCGTCGATGAACGTCAGAATAATTCAGACCAGCGTAACCGTTTTTTTTAACCCAACCAGTCAGATTGGGTCAGGGACAAATACATGCATCCCGAGACCAGGATTTGTCTCGTGACTTTCCAGTAAGTTTGCTGACGATGTACCACATTCGTATCTTCTGCATCTTGAACAAAATGTCAGACGACCAAGCAGTACAATGCATGCAATTCGTGGAAAAAGAAATGTGGAAGAAAACCGACATACAGTCGACTCTCGATAATCCGGACACATTGGTCCCCAGCAGTATTTGTCCGGATTGTGAATCTTCCGGATTGCTGGAACATGACTTTGATAACCGTCGAACTTGTCATTACCATCCAGAGGTTATTAAAATAGTTCTTCTTCTCCACCCCGTCACCTATGATTTAGAAGGTGACAAATTCAGTCGTATCTTGTGACGTGTCCATTGAGTATCGATATTTCACTTGACATAATACAGATTTGAAAACGGTGAAACAAAAGCAGACACCAGAAGCAATATATACGAAACTCATATTTTAACTAGTTGACACTTCATGGTCATAATATTTTACTATTATACACGTATCTTAATCATAGCAGGTGATATTATTATGGAAGATATTTGACAACACAGGTGTATCGCAACTGACATATTTCGAATCACAAGTTTTATAACTAGTTTGACATAACCGTCAGTAGATACGATATTGTAATACTTAATTTCATTTTTTTTCTTCTAATTTTCCCAGAGTAATGTTAAATGTTTGGTCAGTTACAAGAATATAACCATTTATTTGTGCTATGACACATGGATTTGATGGGTTCTAGGTTGCCTGCGCGTTAATGAAACTCATTTTTCTCTCCCTGTGACATCTTGTTCATCTGGAAAATTGGTTGTCAAGGTGGAAGATTTTTGTTTTGTTTCGCCAGCGATGTGTCAGTTATATAATGTAATAATTCAATTTCCCATACCTGTACAAGTAACGATATATAAATTGTAGCAACTCCTTGCTTCCCGACATCTCATTCAAGCGGATAATTGTTCATCGAACCATGAATAAGACTTTGTTTCCTCAATGATGTCAATGTGGTATTTCTAGCTCCTTGTCAACAAGCTCTAGACTATCTATAGGTGTTGTCATTCATCACAAGGGGCTGATCCACTGATACGGACTAATGATATCTAGTTCCCATTTGGAAACATAGGTGTACTGATTACATTGATCCGGGCCCCGGATGCACCCAGACGACTCGGGGTTAAACCAACACTGTGTTCTACCATTGAATACTGATTCTAAGATAGCGTTTCAATTCCATCTTGGCTGTCAAGATAATCTAGAAACCTAGTTTATTTACCTCGAGGCTTTGTAATAACCACTATGTTCATCGTTTCTCTCAATATGTGAGAATTTGTTCCTTGAATAAAATGTTGGGGAATAAATATGTGGTAAACCTCCCAAGAAGCGTGTTGATTTAACCTCGTGGTTATCTGCAGGGCATTGGATGTGTTAGGTAAGGTGTTGAAAGCCACACGGAACTCGAACAAATACATAAACGTAACAATGATACTAAAACTGATGAAAAATCCGTTACCATGATAACTTAATCCAATTGAAATTGTTTGGAGTTATATCGTGT